TCTCTGAAGTGAGGAGGGGAAACTGTGACGCTTCATGATGACGGGCTATTTCTCTTTTGTTTTCTTTTTCCTGGACACCCTACATTGTCATCCTTAGTTTTATTTTTTAACTTCAGTTTTGAGCAAGAGTTCCATCGACACTAGTACTTACCCAGTGGTGCTGTGTGCCGTATGCTAGTCAAGAACCCGGAGTAATAGGAGAATTCTGTTCCTGGAGCAACAACTAGATGGTAGTTCATTGTGCCCGGATTTGAGCATTGTCCCTGTGAATACTGGCAAAGTCTTCCTGTCAGTTTTAAAATGACATAAAGTGAAGGAAGCAGTGCGTGTACAGCCTTGAACTCAGTTTCAGTCTCCGCAGCATCCATTGTTTTGGACACTCCTGGATTGTTCTTACGGGGAAGAGCATGCCTGTCTTAGAAGATCTGAGGCAGTCGATGCTTCTTATCTCGATATGATCATGAAATATGCACTGCTTGCAGGCTCTTCCTGTGCCTCGCCCCCCTCCCCCATCACACTGCTTTATTTGAGGAAGCTGCACATGCCCAGATGCAATGCATCATTCCCATTGTTTTTTTTTCACCCCTGGTCTCATGCTCTACATCAGGGTTGTTTCTAAGTGAATATAGAAAAACTAGTGTGGATGGAAGTGAGGAAGCTGAATACATCCCTGTCCACCTGAGAGAGCAGTGTCTTTGTGACTCAGGGTAGATCCTGTGCTCTAGCTACTTCGAGAAAGCAGTCTCCACATCATGGGGCAGTGGCTGCCCAGCTTTGTGACTCAGGGTAGATCCTGTGCTCTAGCTACTTGCAGATCACAGGAGTGGGCCAAAATCTCACGTCATCTGTTTCCAAAGTCAAAGCATGAGTTTGTGAAGCTTGTGATTCTCAATCCAGCCAATTCTCTGCACTTTCTGGAAGCTTTCCTTGGTGTCTGGGGGGAAAGCTATATTCTTCAGGTTATTTCAGTGGTTTGAATTTGACCATGCATTTCATCAAGTTTTCCTTCCATCCAGAATATTTTTCATAAAAGTAATATAAGAATTTAAAACAACATAAAATATGTAAAGTTGAATTAATTGCTGTTCTAACTAGTACCCCAGAGGAAACTACTTTTCACAGTTTGGTATATAGTTTTCCAGACTGTTTTCCATTGTAAAAAAAAAAAAAGTTATATAAAATATATAAGGAACTCATATAACTTAACAAAAGGAAGACAATCCAATAAAAAAAATGGGCAAAGAGCCTAAATAGACAGTTGTCCAAAGTGGACATACAGATGGCCAAGAGACATAAAAATGCTCAAAGGCATTAATCATCCCAGAGATGAAAATTAAAATGACAATGACGTGTCACCTCACACCTGTCAAAATGGCTACCATCAACAAGTGCTGGTGAGGATGTGGAGAAAAGGGAACCCTTGTGCACTGCTTGCTGGTGGGACTGCAGACTGGAGCAGCCTCTGTGGAAAAGAGTACGGAGTTTCTTCAATATATTAAAAATGGAACTCCCATTTGACTCAGTGATCCCACTTCTAGGAATATAGCCTGAGAAACCAGAAACACCAATCAGAAAGTATATATGCACCCCTATGTTCATAGTAGTGTAATTTACAGTAAGATTTAGAAATAGTCCAAGTGCCCATCAACAGATGAGTGGATAAAAAAGCTGTGGTACATTTACACAATAGAATACTATATAGCTGCAAAAATATAACTTACCATTTGCAACAGCATGGAGGGACCTGGAGAGTATTATGCTAAGTGAAATAAGCCAGTCAGAGAAAGATAAGTATCACATGATCCCACTCATATGTGGAATGTAATGAACAATATAAACTGATGAACAAAATAGATCCAGGGACATAGACGCATGGAACAGACAGAATTTCAGAGAGAAGGTGGGGAGTGATTAACCAGGGAACATATGTATATAATCATAGCTTGTGGATAGAGACAATAGAGTGGTGAAGGCTTGGGAGGGGTGGGTACGGGGTAAAAGGGGTCAATGAGAAAAAACAAAGGGGATATCTGTAATACTTTCAACAATAAAGATAAATTTAAAAATTGTTTTAAAAATGGCATTACTATAAATACATAAAATAGCATCACGCTATAAATATATTTCTGCAACTTGCTTTTGTCACTTTATAGAGTAGACATTTTTTATGTCAATACACATAGAGTAAGTGTTCTATTTCTCATTATGCCAATACACTTTTGTAAGGATGTATTCCTATTACCTCTTTTGTTAACTTTATTACTTTATAGTTATTCATAATATTATTTTATTACTAGAGGCCCGGTGCATGAAAATTCATGCACTGGAGGGGGGCGTCCCTCAGCTCGGCTTGTCCCTCTCACAGTCCTGGACCCC